GGGTCCGAGTGTTTTGTCAAACCGCACATTCAGGAGGAGCTGTCCTGGCTGTGGAACAGTAGATCAGCAAAAGTGCTGGTAGGTGTTGCATTCCGACATTGTTGATCCTTGTCTCTGATCTTTCACACAGTGCCAGTGTGAAGTGATTGGGATGAAGGTCAGCACCTCCGAGTCTGCGGCCATGGTTCTCTGCTGGAAAACAGTGGATATCTTCTTCCAGGTTGGGAGTGAGGTCCTACCCCAAGCGAAGGAGAACAAGTATCTCATGATCTTGTTCATGAGTCAGTTAAGGTGGTTCAGGCATCAGGATCCTCCTGGGCACCTTCTTTTGGAGGTTTTCCTGGCACACCCAGGGTAGACCAAGAACCAGGCCTGGGAAGACCTTCGGATCCCCCAAGACAGGGGTTTTCAAAGTGTGAGACTGTGGGACTCCCCTCAGACAAAAATTGAGCTTTAGTTGACCTGGCCCCGGAAAAGTGAAAGATAATGGATGAATGGATTGTGAAGCCTGCCAGAAATGTACATAATGTTTTAACTGTAGTGTTTGTTGTAATTGTCATTTTAATTAATTACGTCTTCATTTTCAAAATAAGATACGGCAGCCATTTTACAGTACAGTAAGAAAAAAAAACATACCTAGAACCTAATTACATTGAGTTTGATCATTTCAAATATCATACTTTACTTTACTACTAGTATTAGTAGAAATGCTACTACAGAAAAAAAAAAATCAACTGCTTATCTGGGGTCAGGTCGCGAGGGCAACAGCTCCAGCAGGGGACCCCTCCCTTTTTCTTGGTTGAAGATACTAGAAGACGTTAAATGTGACCAGTTAAATGTGTTGATTCTTCATTACAGCAGCTCACTACACACTTAATCTCACAGTAGTTCTGCTTAAGCACTCACTGTTCTTTCCATCTTTTAGCGACCCTCTTTAAAATCTCATAGTTGTTAACAAGAGTTACTACTAGTATTAGTAAAAACAGTGAGTTTCACTAAATTAAGTTTTATAACTAGGTTCAGGAACAAGGACTATGCCTCGAACAGATCTCATTTCCACACGAAAACATTTAAGTTTTCATCATTTAAAACACACAGCACAAGATGCTGGGCATTTACAGTTTTTTACAATCACTTTGGTACTATTTTCAGAACCTTGATGTCATTTTTCACAACTCTAGACACAAAACTCAAAATGGTTATCACTTGTAACACAGGCTGTCTAATGTTCAAAACATTGCATTGTGCATTCACATCTTTACAGAAATCTTGCACTTGCACAATCATTGGTTCAAAAAACAAATTTATTGGGAAATACCATTGAAACATAACTATAGATCACCCACACACAAGCACTGTGTCATTGTTCATACAATCATTAAATATTGTAGAAGAAAATAGGTGATACAGGTTTCATTATGGTACTACATGTACAGTAAATACATCTCTGTAAAAGTACTGCAGTAGTAGAGAGAATACTACAGACACAGTGGAATCATTGAACAAAGTTTGTAATATATTGATGCAAAACACTACAGTACAATCACAACATAGGTTTATTTGAATCAAAACAAAAATAATTGATGATTTCTATGAAATAGAAAACAAAAGACAAGCAAGCAAGTGTTCCTCAACTTACTTGCTTGTACTAGAAGAAACAGGAGTGATTACTGTACTTCTACATTGTCATCAACTCTGTGTTGTGGATTTGGCCACAGGTTCTCATCTACATCACAATGGATGATTTCATTAGCCAAACATTTTGGAAAAAACCTTCGGGCATGGCGAATCCAGGCCTGACACTGGTCTGCTGTGATGTCATTGCAGGCGTCATCCATGGCCTGGAGAAGAGTGACTTGTTCATGAGGGTGCCTGTCATGAACCTTCCATCTCCATGCGGAGAAAAATTCCTCAATGGGGTTAAGGAAGGGAAGCTCTACAAACCTGATGGAGCTCATCAAGAAAGGTGACAAGGAGAGCTGCATTATATGGTCCAATATGAGGTCTGCGTCCCGCCACACCTCTCAAACGAGGCCCACGACCACCTCTCAGAAGGGGTGCCTGTCCCCTGCCATTCCTTTGACCAACACGTCTTCCTCGTCTTCCTCCCACTACTGCTTGACCTCCACTGTGACCTGTATCACCTGCTGGCTCCCTGTTACGTATCACTATGCTCTTGCAATTGGATCCCAATCAACTCTTTATATACTCATTCCACAATGTGCACTCAATCATCAGGAACGAGTTGGCAGAATTGGACAAGCAATTACAAGGGCCTGCATCTATACAGTGCAGTACTGTCAATACTGTAAATAGTCTGAAAAGGTGGTACAGTATTTGGGACCATAGACACAGTGTCTGATCTCGTTATCTTGAAACTTTCACGATTTACTGTAAACATGGAAGATAGTTTGTCTGTTTCCATACAACTATGCATTAAGAGTAATGCAACAGTTACTTATCATTTTGAGCAGTTGTTTCAATTGATAGTTAGATCATTGTAAGGAAATGAATAGACACTCATTTGAAATGTAATGTGTGAACTGCCTTTTGAAATAGTAGTACTTTGATGTTGTGTCATATTGAACAGGTGATTTTAGTTGAATGAACAAATGATGAAGTTTTATGTGTATTGTCTCCAAGCAATTGAGAAAAGTTTTGAAAAATGTGCATTTTGATCATCGGTTGTGAGTTTTGTGTCTAGAGTTGTGAAAAAGCTGTAAAAGAGATTGCAGCAGGGACGTCACTAAGATTGAAACACAGGGGGGGCTTAGCCCCCAGGGGATGCGTAACTTGCACTTGCAAAATCTTTGCACTCGCGTCTTTTGTTACTGTATTAGAACTACACTTATGTCAACAACCAGTGAAGAAGCCAAGATGTTAACAAATAAAAAGCAACAGACATACTTTGTTCTTCCATTTCTCCTCTGTTGAACAAAAGGTACTGTAATGTTACATGGGCGTCTGGAGCAAAAGAAATGTGGGTGTGTCCTCCTCCAGGATTTATATATATATATATATATAAATTTTGTTTTATAAAAATCGTCATTGCTTATTACTTATATGCTATTTTAAAGCTGCTAAGTTCAATGTTGCTCTAAACTGCTTTTTGTTGTATTTTGTATACAATGACAATAGAGTCTCTATCATGAATCCTGAAATCTGTTAGTTGGGGGGTTCCCCCCCCCCCCCCCCCCCGAAGATTTAGAGCATTAAACACTTAATTTCCTACATTCTTGGGATTTGTTTGCACCAATTTATGGTGAAATGTTTTTATTTATGTAAAGGGAAACACAAAATTCAGGTGGCAGGTGACAGTTCAAAATCTAAAACTCAACAGAACTTCAGTCAGTGCAGCTCTCAGTCATTCTGTGGTGCTTTCAGATATGTTTCTCCTGTAGATCAACTTTCTCATGTAATATCATCCCTGCTGAGTCAAGTCTGTCCAGTCCATTTCTGAATCAGATTTGGCACTGGTACCACAGCTAGCTTCTCTCATTGACCAGGATTCAAAGAGCTGCTAACTCTGGTTGATTAATGTTAATATTACTGTAGCTAGCTAGCCTAGCAAAAATATCAGATAACTCTGTTATAAGTGTTATGTTGTTAACTATTTTAACAACATAGCGTAAGTGTAACTGTAATTCAATGCTGCAACAAAGACTACATGATGCCTTTAAAAGCATCAGGCGAACAAATGATGAACTTTCCCTTAAAAAGCGGTTTTAATGACAGTACGTGAGCATGACGACTCTTTGAAAGGTGAACAAACAGAGGCGCTGAATTTCAGTGAGTGGGTCCAATATCATTGTTCCTAAAAAGTGGGACAGTCCCACCCACATACAATGGTTCCGACGCCCATGTAATGTTATAAAAATATAAATATAGTATATATCTATCTATCATGTTAGCTTTTAGACACATCAACGCTGCAGGGGGGGAATTCACTTAGACCAGACTGAGTTCTTCTGTAGGCTGTGACATAAATGCTACCCAGCTGCTCATGTAAATGTGTAATATCTCTATTAGATAAGTCGGAGATCCAAAGAATACTATTTAATTACACTAATTACTGTTACTGCACTGTGGATTGGTTCAATCAGGGTTTCAGCCCCCCTAAAATAGGCCTAACAACATCCATGGATTGCAGAGACTCCAACAATAAAAAAGGTATTAAGGTAGACATGGGAACATTTGTAGTTGTGTTTAAAAATGATAACTGCCACCTCCACTCCCTGACAGCCAAGAATAATTAAAACAGTAGTAATTAAGGGACATGCCTCAGTTAGTGGGGAAAAAATTAATAATTGTTAGTTATAATAACATCTTATATCTTTTACATATAAAGGACTTGTTTAAAGGGACCTCACATTAAGTAGACTAAAGAAATAATGAAAATCTATCAACACCAGCCACAGAGCCCCAGAGCATTATTCAGAGTAACTCTGTTTCTGGACAGACGTGTTCTTTTTTAAAGCTCCACAGAGCTGCAGAGTTTGGTGATAACTGGGATCAGAACATAGACTGTATATAAATGTGTATGTAATGTTTATACAGTCAGTGGTTCAGAACAATTTCATTTCATCCAGTGTATTAAAAGCATATTTAAAAGATGAAACAAATTTGTTTTCTACTTTAAACATTTCATTCATTTCACAATCATCACATCCTACAAAAACATAGTGTTGTGTCAGAAGGAATGAGTTTGCTCTGAAGAGGAACAGGAACTACTTCTGGGTTTGACTGAAGGTTAAACACAGATAAGATCGCATCAGTCAATAAAAAAACTTGAACATTCAGCCTTGTTGCTGTTGTGCATGTTTGATTGTTTTTTTCTCTGTTAAGCATCGTTTCTTCTTCTGGTGTAAAGTGCAGGTGATGCCAACAGATTTGCCCGAAACACGCTTTGTTGGAATAAATGAAACTAAATACACAGTGATGCAGGAGCTGCAGTCCTGTATTGTGAATCAAAGCCTATCATCAGTGTCTACTGTCTGCAGAGCGAGTTGTTGTAGCAGTAGGATCCTCTGCCAGCTGAAGTTCCTGTCCTGGTGTTAAAAGAGAGATCAGCTACTGATAATCTGCTGTGTGTTGGTCCTGGAGAACTACTGCACAGGACGGATCTTCATGATGATGAAGCAGATCTGAGGTCTGTGAGGGAGTGATGATGGACAGGTGACCAGCTGCACCTTTAAACTGTGAGTTAAAACAACACTCACATGTCCACATGTACATAAGTAAAGTTTTAAGGTACTTGTACTTCAGTGTTTCCATGTCATGCTTTGTTGCAGTACTTCTCAGAGGGAAATATTGGACTCCAAATGGTTATTTTAAGTATTATTACAGATTGAGCTGTCCAGCAGCATGTAACAACCTTTACCAGCTGGAACATTAAGGTGATGAACACATGAATGAGTTAATAATTATAATCCATTTATATATTATTCTGAAATGACCCATTCTGCATAATGAGTACTTTTACTGGTGGGAAGTAAGTATATTTTGATGCTAATACAGGATGCAGGTTAACGTAGTATTTCTAGACCGTGCTATTTTAAGGGATTTTGGTTTAATTTAGAAATGTTTATACAGTCAGTGGTTCAGAACAACCAGAGACAGTTTCACCTCACAGTCATTTCATCCAGTGTATTAAAAGCATATTTAAAAGATGAAACATATTTGTTTTCTACTTTAAACATTTCATTCATTTCACAATCATCACATCCTACAAAAACATAGTGTTGTGTCAGAAGGAATGAGTTTGCTCTGAAGAGGAACAGGAACTACTTCTGGGTTTGACTGAAGGTTAAACACAGATAAGATCGCATCAGTCAATAAAAAAACTTGAACATTCAGCCTTGTTGCTGTTGTGCATGTTTGATTGTTTTTTTCTCTGCTAAGCATTGTTTCTTCTTCTGGTGTAAAGTGCAGGTGATGCCAACAGATTTGCCCGAAACACGCTTTGTTGGAATAAATGAAACTAAATACACAGTGATGCAGGAGCTGCAGTCCTGTATTGTGAATCAAAGCCTATCATCAGTGTCTACTGTCTGCAGAGCGAGTTGTTGTAGCAGTAGGATCCTCTGCCAGCTGAAGTTCCTGTCCTGGTGTTAAAAGAGAGATCAGCTGCTGATAATCTGCTGTGTGTTGGTCCTGGAGAACTACTGCACAGGACGGATCTTCATGATGACGGTCTTCAGGGAGTTAAATTAAGTTAAAAAAGAAAATACCCGTTCTGTGGCCAAAGCCAAAGGGCTCCTTTGATCGAACTTCAGTCGATGGAGAGACTTTTCTTCTGTTGCAGCGGTACTTTATACTTTATTTATTCTGATTAGAAACACATACTATAGAACATTTAGTCTTTCTGTATCACACATAAACAGGAGTGCAGCTCAGACATTTCTCTGCATGAAATGAAGTTGTGTATTAGGCGGACATGTTCTCTGCAGCAGTGAAGCAGATCTGAGGTCAGAGACTCTGTGAGGCAGTGATGATGGACAGGTGACCAGCTGCACCTTTAAACTGTGAGTTAAAACAACACTCACATGTCCACATGTACATAAGTAAAGTTTTAAGGTACTTGTACTTCAGTGTTTCCCTGTCATGCTTTGTTGCAGTACTTCTCAGAGGGAAATATTGGACTCCAAATGGTTATTTTAAGTATTATTACAGATTGAGCTGTCCAGCAGCATGTAACAACCTTTACCAGCTGGAACATTAAGGTGATGAACACATGAATGAGTTAGTAATTATAATCCATTTATATATATTATTCTGAAATGACCCATTCTGCATAATGAGTACTTTTACTGGTGGGAAGTAAGTATATTTTAATGCTAATACAGGATGCAGGTTAACGTAGTATTTCTAGACCGTGCTATTTGAAGGGTTTAATTTAGAAATATTTATTGTATTCATTTATTTATAAGAACATGACTCTTTCAGTTATTGTTTATTATGTGGAACTTCAGGGGTTCATCCCAACTTTGGGATGAATGAATGTATAAATGAATGAATTCTCATATGTCATGGTGTTTACTGAAGGATTTAAGGTAATAAACAAACAAAACTACATCACATGTTCTTCATTTGTTTCATTTCCAGATTCAGTGTTTGTTAATGAAATTAAGGGCGATCTGCACACTTTAAGGCATTTATTGTGTAAACAATTCAAAATGGACCAAATCATCCCTGAACTGAACACTGAAAAGAGCCTGATAAAAATGATAAAAATTAAAGTTGTGCTTTCATGTTTCATGCTTTCATTTACAGGAGTTTTTAACCCTTAAACTGAGCAGATAATCTATCAACACAGTTACGTTAGAATCCATTAATCAGTAAACTTTACCGCCCACGTTTATGATTTATAAGCAGCAGATAATAAACTGACAATTTAACACCGTTGTGATCATTTAAAATATATCTTCATGTTTTATATGAAGTATTAAATATATTAAGTATTATATTTATTAATGAAGTGTAATCTGTTTATAAATAGAACCAGGTATAGATCCTTCATGAGAGGAGTTGTTCTTAAATACTGAAAACTAAAATATGTTTATAGAGTTTTATTATTTTATATATTGCTTATAAATGCTACATGTCAATTTAATAAGATATTTATTAACGTCTAAATAAAATAGTGAAGTTTCAATTAAGTTATTTATTCAATTATGGTTTAATTCTGTTTTTAATCAACACATTAATTCTGCATTAACAGTGTGAAGAATCAATATTTGAATAGTTATTGAATATTGGCATTGGAAAATTTCACAGACTGGAAGGCAGGAGGAGGAGGAGGAGGAGGAGGAGGAGGTCTGCTGTCAGTCCGTCTCCTGGAGGCCACAGCGCCTCCTGAACTCCTGCCCTCGCTCATGGATCCATTTATTGGACACTGCGGACAGAGAAGACCAGTTCAGGGGTCGGAGTAAAACCAGGACCTGCTCCACCTGTTGACAGTCAGTAGCACATATTTCAACTTTTATGCTCGTGTTGCTGCTGCTGCTGTGTGAACACGAGCTCTGTGGCGCCCTCCGGCCTTTTACGATATAAAATTGAAGTTTTGCTTTCACGTCATTGGTCAATTTTAAAAGGGGTTTAAAATATATTTTAAACCCCGTTTTGCTTCATAAGCAGCAGATAATAAAACACGTTAAGCAGAAACATGAATGTACTTTTCTAAACTCCTGAAGCAGCAGATAATAAACTGACACTTTAACACCGTTGTGATCCTTTAAAATACATCTTCATGTTTTAGATCAAGTATTAAATGTGTGTTGCTTGCTATAAAATACAGTTTACCATGAAGACGCAGTCAGAATTTTGAGCAACTAAAGCTGCCAGAAAAATGCAGTGTACAAGTATAAAATGGATATACTCCAGTAAAGTACCTCAAAATTGTACTGAAGTACAGTACTTGAGCCTTCTGTTCACTGAAGGAAGCCATCTCTTGTGTGAAGAGCAAGGCTTGTTGATGTGTGAAGTTAGAGTCGACCTCTGTCGTTGTGACTGATCCACCAATAGGCAAGAAGTTGACCCCTTGAGCCACAGCCCCTCCTCATTTGCATAATGAGGCAGAAATGCATAGAGAAATGTAAAAAGGGGAGACAGGAATAAATACCATTGAGGAAATAAATAGGGTAGAAATGCAAAGGAAGAATAATATTCTTCTAATGAAGAACAAAAATATTAAATCATACACATAAACAAATACATTTAAAAAAGTAATTATTTTATTTAAAGTAATTAATAAATAAAGTTGAAGTCTGGTGGTATAACAGACAATAAATAAATAAGATAATTAATACAAAGCTGAATAAATAAAGAAGCAAATTAAAAGAGATATATTTATTTATATCTCACTGTATAATTTAATTACTGCCTACATTTATTTATTTACTGTATTTTCATGTGCATTTAATCAGATGGTTATTTATTTATTGAGCATTTATTTATTTCTGTATTTATTTCTGAATCTGACAGCTAAAGACTGCTGGGAGGCTTGTAGGTGTCAGAACTACAAGTCAGCCACAAGATGGAGACAAATACCGTGTGTTGAAATGGATGCTCTATAACAAATTTTGGTAGCACTTTATAATAACTACACACTATAAAGCATTATTTAAGTATTAGTAAATACGGAATTCATCATTTATAAAGCATTGTTCATACATTAATACACTTTAGTAAGTCATTCATAAACACAGTTATAGATAGAAGTAGATATAAATAGAAAAACTAAATAGATACATTATATACATTATATCAAATAGAATAAAACAAAAGCTATGTAATTCTACTGAAAACTCAAACTTACAGCACCAGCAGTTCACATACAGTACCCACAACTAGCAACTAACTAACTAACTAACTAACATGAACTGAGCAACTGTGCAAAACCATCTCAAGCTGAGTGACAGTGGTGTGATTAGTAGCAGCAAAGTCAGCAGATTATTGTATTCATAAGAGTAATATGATACCGTTCCAGAGCATGAAGCGATCTTTGTTAAACATGGAGAAAAGAAAAAGGACTGCTGTTGTTGGTGCTGCCAGGGGGGGCAGGAAAGTCGGCCCCTGATGCCCCCTCTCTCAAAGGGCTGTGATTGGTTGGGTTCATAGGTACTCACAGCAAGAGTTTGTGCCTCTACAGCATGATCACCTGATCTGACTCAGTAACTCTGCTTTGATTCCAGCATAAATGTGAAGCTGAGTCCCAGAAAAGGTGAAGTGTACCTGGACAGCAGACCTCTCTCCAAGGGGATAGATGGTGTACACTCCACTGGGGAGGCTCTTGTCTTGTTTGTAGATGTCACTGCAGTCCACCGGTTGGACGAGCTGCTGGCAGCTGGTCAACAGAGGAGCCAGGAGGAGGAAGACGACTGATACCAGCTGGAACAGAGCACATGTTGTCATTCTGACTGAGCTTTGACTCTTACACACTGTTTTACCAGTTTGGCCTCTAGTTTCATGGCGGTGTGGGCAAAGACACCTCTAAGGTGGAGCTAACTGACAATAATTATCTGCCTGGGTTGTTGCTGTAGCAACCATCTAAGCTACCAATATCACAAGCCTCTTCACAGTTTAACAGGACTTTGAGATCTGTAAAATATCAGTTCACAAACTCACCTTCATTGTCAGATTTCTGCTGAAACTGCTGATGTGGATCCGTCTGATGCTCTGAAAATACAGCAACAATATATTTGTTCCGTCACTGAACTCACATGGAACAGATTATTATGTGAATGCAGAATAAGTAGAATTTAAATTTGGTGTTTAGGTTGTAGCTCCGTCACTCCCCAATACACTAAGCTGGGAGTGACAGTAATAACTTCCCTCACAAAACTGCATTAGATACAAATCATGACACCGACTGTTGAATAGAATTTATCAGGGTTCAAAGTCTTTCTGTGATTTAGAATTGTTATTTCATGGTAATATAGGACTTTTAGAATATTAGAGTCACCTCTCAGTAAAATCAAACACAATTCTGCAGCATCACAAACTACAGACGTGTTGACAGACTTCACCGCCATCACTTCATACAACCACAGTCTGCAGCTCTACAGACGCTCTGCAGTCACTCAGGAATCAACACATACTCAACCAAAACTCATCAGTATTTGGGAGTATTGTTGTCAATTATTTTGGAGTATTATAGCCTAAATTGTTATCATTAATTACTAGAACAATGGTGGTCTACACTGTCATCATTTAAAGTGTTATTTTATAGTGTAAAGTTAGGATCACAGTGTGAAAACTCCACAGCTCTGAGTGTATGTGCTCCTTCCTGCCCAGGCTCAGCAGTAGCACATGTGTGTGTGTGAGCAAGCTGATTTATCAGACATGTGTAATGTCTCCTGGTTGGATGCTTACCTGTCTGAACTCACCAGCAGGTTGAACTGAGGAGACGTTGCGGCTTCACCTTCAGAGGAAACAAACTGCTGCTTCTCCTTCAGCCTGTCACACTCTCACAACTTCACTACTTATATCTATAGAAGGTGCTGTGACGTCACAGCAGACACACCTTTTAGAAAAACACATTAAATGCAGACAATCACAAACAAAGTGTGTAGCTGACCTCCAGGATGTCCTACCAGTTTTCTCCCAATAGGTTAATATACCGTCTATTATGATTTAAATTTCAACATATAATGATAAATATAAATATGTGAAAGGAAAGAAGCTTTTAATGAAAACAGATCTGAGGTCAGAGACTCTGTGATGGAGTGATGATGAACAGGTGATCAGCTGCACCTTTAAAGCAGAGTTTAGTCACTGTGTTAAAACTACACTCACATGTACATAAGTAAAGTTTTGATCACACGACTATAGGCAAGACTTGACCTTGAAAGGTTTTTGTAAAATATTTGTTTTTCAGGGCTAGTTTCAGCACTAGTTAGTCACAATACATAGATACATTCACGTAGATGCTGCATCGTGTTCAAATAAAAGTCTTTGAAGTCTCTGCTGCTTTTAGATGTCTAGTGAAGGAATTAGCAAAACCAAGCAAACTGGGAAAGCATTTCACAGATCAGAAGTTATTTTACAATATTATACTGTTACAGTTGAGTTTGATATATCACACAAAGCGATACTTCTTTTAAGCTAACATTAAGTTACTGTCCTGATACTAACTTAGGTAACTGTTACACTGCAACTCTGCACCAGTCTGCTGAAACACTGGATCATTTCTGTAAATAATGTGTGACTTAATAAGTAAAAAAAAAAAGAAGTGAATATTTCCCTGTAAATGCAATTAAAAACAGAATTGCTTGTTTCCAGATGCTCGCTGACAGACATGCTGTTTTTTAAAGCTCCATAGAGCTGCAGAGTTGGTGATAACTGTTGCTTCAGAACATAGACTGTATTTAAAGGTGTGTATGTAATGTTTAAACAGTCAGTGGTTCAGAACAACCAGAGACCGTTTCACTTCACACCGAGTCATTTCATCCAATGTTTGGTGGTGATGGAACAGTGGAAAAGACACATGCATTTGGTGTGAGAGTGTGTCCACCAGCGTGTCCCTGACACTTATTTGTTTCTTCAGATCCCCATTAGCTGCCACTAGTGTGGCTTTTGCTTCGTGATAAACTATTAAAAGAATAGTTAACTGTTTGCTTTCTGCTTTAAACATTTTATTCACTTCACAATCATCACATACTACAAATCATAGTTACGT